GGATGTACGGTACAGCAGATGGCTGGCTGGGGAATTCTGGGAGTTGAAGTCCACTCATCTTAAAGTGGCCACGTTTGGACAACACTGCTGTATACATTTGGTAAATGAATAATTTGCTTATTTTGCATTGTTCTACTGAGGAAAAGTGTTACAAGAAACCTGCCAAGCATGTGCATGCTCTTATGGTACTGGTAGGGCTGCAAAATCCTCTGTGTTCTCAATCCTTTAAGTGCTAGAAACATGCTATTTGAGGACAGGGAAAATGCTTACAATCTCATGTTATTAAGAGATTTAACATATTACTATAGTTATAAGTTAACAAATAAAACTTTTCCAAATTAAACAGTGTCTATGATGGGGATAATGGTAGACAAGGTAAACAACTTCTGAGGAAAATGCCAAATAGTTGCTTGATCATCATTGTTATATTAGCATTAGTTGTCCTTTAGAATTTGAATCTTTTTTTTTTTTTGAAACTTCAGACAGATTTAAGAAGTGTGGCACCAGTGCTCTTTTTCCAAGAGCTTAATCTAGTAATTTGGGAAGGAATAGAACTAATGATGGTTTGTCAAAATTTTGGAATTGATAACTGATCTCTGAAATTGTTGAGGTACAGAAATAAATAAGAAGCTATCAGGCTTTGGATATCCATGGAAAACACATTTGTTTTATTGGTAACTATAAACTAAATAGTTCAGGAAGGCAAAAAATGGGAATGAGAGAGGAATTAATTAGTTCTGGAGAAAGAAAATTGAATTATAGAGGGGACTATGTTTTTAGTGGGACTTTGTTCTCATACTACTGTTTGTGAAGCTGTAAAAACTATTTTATACTGTATTCACTTAAAAGGAAGATGAATACTCCCCCCCAATAATTTACCTTTAAAACTGGAGGGTCATTTTAGATTTGCTGAAAATGTACTAATAGAAGTAGACAATATTGTTTTTGGTCATAAACATATGAACTCACCAAACATATTGTATGAACTTGTATGTCCAGTCTCCTAGATTGAACCTGTCAGGCTTAGCCCAAGGAACTCCAAGAGACAATGTCAATTCAGTCCAGCTATGTTTATTAGCTACAATCTCTAGCA